GCTGATTTGGCCTAAACCACGACAAAACAGCAAACGAAGTATTAAGATTTGACCTGATCTGCAGAGGATCCAGGTGATTAGAAACCATAAGCTAAGCTGTGCTATAAAATTTTGTACTACGCTACTTATAAAATTGTACTACACTGATTCTGCTTATAGAAATCTCATGCTATTCTGATTATAAATTCTATGTTATACTAATAATAAAATCCTGTTAAGAAAAATAAAGCTTTAATTGTAACTGCGACTTAGTGCTGTCATCATTCTGCCAAGGATCCCTAAAAGAACCTGTATTTTCCCTTGGTGTCAGGTGGCACCATGAGATGCATATTAATAGATGTCTACTGTAGCATATCACTTGCTAATTATGGTATTAAATCTCTGCAAGAAAAAAGTCATGCTAATCAGTATAGTAACTTTCAAGTTCAACAGAAAGAATGATATATATTCTGGATAAAATTAAGATTAAAAACAGATATACCAGAAATGCTAGAGCAGTTTAAACTAAAAGGTTGAGTTAGAAAACTTTTGCATTGAAATTTAATGTAAAACTATTTGTTAGTTCAGAGCTCTGACATACTAAGTTCCTGTTTCATTAACATTCTCTAAAGCTCTAAGCACTTAAGCACATGCAGTCACATAAAAGTAATGTTACCTTTTCTGTGGCAGACTAATGCTTCGACACTGGCGTGAAGTTTCCTAAGCTGCTGATCCAGATTCTCAAATTGCTGCTGTTTTTCTTCAAACCACTGACAAAAGAGGAAAGAGTCTAGCATTATAATTTATATTACCAACAGCATTTCTTGTTTTAAAGCAGCAAATTATCCATTTATTGCTAGGATGGTCAACTGATACAGCTAAGAATCCAAGCCAATAAGCAAATTACTATCTCATTTTTACAGCTTTAAAATGTAATTGTGGAGACTCATTAATTCAACTCATTATTCAAGTAAAAAAATAATCAGCTCTTACTGCATCTGATTCATTCATCTTGATTGTCATTTTGTTGACAGCATCAGCAGCCTTGTTTACCATCCTCAATATTCCTGCTCCACTCAGAGCCTGGGTGTTAACTGCTCTCGGCAGCTGGAAATGAATGACAAATAAGGTCAGACAGACTAATTAAAAGGCTGAAGGTTTAACTGGGTACAAGGGGGAAAGAAAAGGATAGACTATTTTCTTTACTTCTAACATGTTACAATATAGTGGAATCTAATTTCTCAGTTTTACTATTTTTACATTCTCAGAGGAAAATTTAACAATATAGACTATTTACTTTTCTTCAATATCTTTACATTTAAATGGAACAAACAACCTACTTGTCAGAAGTTATGAACTAGCCAAAGGTCCTAAATAGCCACCTATATACTACAGAGAACAAAATGCCACTACAGAAACAGAAAAGCTTAGATTTACAATAAGATACAGAAATTCTGTAAAACACTTCATTATAATGCAAGATTCACACTGTGTACAGATCATAAAAAGTTGATGTCTTTTTGCTTTTAAATATAGGCCAGGTTTCAAAACCTACCTTATGAGTATTGCGAGAACTGTGCATTTGTGAGGTACTTAGAAATCCTCAGGAGTAAGTTAACAAACTTTAAAGCGATATTATTCTTTGTTAACACTAGTCTAAATATGCTGTACAAAGTGGCCCCGATGTCAGGCCATTTACCCTTCATATCTGATACTATCAATGATGCTTTTGTCAGTATCGAGGCCTCTGTGACTTATTAGCATAGCTAAGATATTGACGTTGGCCAAAAGACAATCCACTATTACAGAAAATCCACTATGCACATTTATAGACTTATGTTTTTGGAGACATAATAATCTGTTCCATAATATATTTCATTTTGTGAAAGGTGCCATATTGATAGTAATAGTGACTGAAGTCCTCTATCCAAAAAACATCTAGCATGGCCAGCAGCACTGCATGCCTGTTCACATTATTATGCCAATAAACCTCAAGCTTGACTTCTAGAGGCAAGAACTGTTTCCAAGCCAGTTTAATTAATGATCTTAATTAACCCTCAGTAGCACTGATTATGGATTTTCACTCTGTGTATGATGAGCTTCACTCACAACTGGACAGACCAATTCACTTGGAAGAAGTCATTGAACAGCAGATAGCTTTTGGTCACTACCAACCTAAAATTTATCAGAGGTAGAGGCAATAGACTTTGTGCATGATTATCTAAGCGGCCTTTTGTTACTCTGTCCCATGAAGGGTACAATTCAATTTTATTTCATATGAATTTAGGAGATTAGGTCTCAATACAAATAGTACATTACTTTGTACATTACACTATCTGGAAACAAATGAGGAACTTAAAAGAATGTAAATACCTCAGAACTTTCCAAGAACTGCCTTAAATATGAATCCTGCAACAAGGTACGGTGTTTTACTGTTCTTTGTAGATACCTATGATTTAAAAAATCAAAAATATTAGATAACAAAACAGATTTCATGTGCCTGACAGCATTGGAAAGTGTCCTTTAGCTAAAGAATGGGGAAAATGCAGGTAGCATGTAACCTTTTTTCATTATGTAATGGAGTTTGAACACTTGTAAAGTCACCTCTAAAGACAAGTTGCTGGCAGTGGTTTCTAACCTAGTTTGTTTACATCAAACTTCTAAAGGTGTCATAATTTGCTGTAAATCTATGTTGCACAGTATTTAAATAATATACTTGACATTTTTAACACCTCAGTGCAGGCTTCCTGCTCTAATTACAACCAATTTAAGCCAGAAAATAGATGGGCTTGTTTAAACACATTCTCATATTGTGCAGTGAACAGGCTTTTTGTTACAGCTAATTCTGGCTGGCTTGTTTTAGAATTAAAGGAAGTCTTGGAGAAGTGAGTTGAACTTGTTCTGGGTATTAACTATTTATTTGCTGGCTAGACAGCCTTCAACCTATATTAGTTCTACAGGACTCATCCACCCAGATTAGTGCAAATCCTTCCTTTTGCAATTTTTTGCATTTCTGCTTGGATCTAAAAACTATTGATTGTACAAATATGAGTTGAAGAGGTAAATTTCTACAGTGCTCATTCACTAAAAACTGCTGCAAGTTTGTCATAACTGATTTTAATATTATGTATTAATGGAAAGTGTCCAATACTTACAAGAATGCTTTACAGAAACTTAAAACCTCAAAAGATCATGGGAGCATGAGAAAGTATGCAATAATGCCAATTAAGATGTACTAACAGAACACCATTAACAGTATTTGTACTTTTTGCAAAGCTTTAGTTTTGCTCAAGCCTCAGCTGAAAAGTACCAGAACTGCCCCATTACAGTCACAAATTGCTTGGAAACTGTCCTAGAGAGTTATACAGACTGGGACTTAATGGAAAGTTTAAGTAGACTGATACTGTAATCACAATGTATTTTCTCCATCCTCCATTAGATATGTCCACCAGATGCTTATTTTTCTTCCTAAAAAAGCTAAGAGTTGCAGTGAAACTATTTCATACATTAGATTGCTCAACGTTTCCTTGAGTGTTCTGACAGTCAATAGCAAGTACAAGTTAAAGTTGATGCTGCAAATAACTTTTTCTTTAGAACACTGCTGCTAGAGAACAGCACTTAATCCAAGGGAGATAACTAACATTTTCACTGGAAACAACTAGAAGACACCTGTCAGACTTGCAGTACTTAAGTTCACTATTCTAAGGAATAATTCTATGATTCTAATAAACTTCAGTGAATTCAATAAAAAAGTCACGTTGCTTTCCTGCCCACTTTCCCCAAAGCTCTGAGCAATCTAGAAAGAGCAACCTAGAACACATCTTTCTGGCCTGTCTGGGGCAAATTAATATGTTTTCATAGAATGGTTACAGTGGGAAGAGACCTTAAAGATCATCTAGTTCAACCCCCTGTAATGGGCAGGGACACTTTCCACTAGACCAGGTTGCTCAAAGCCCCACCCAGCCCGGCCTTGAACACTTCCAGGGATGGGGCATCCACAACTTCTATGGACAGCCTGTTCCAGTGTCTCACCACCCTCACAGTAAAGAATTTCTTCATGATATCTAACCTAAATCTACCCTCTTCCAGTTTAAAACCATTAACCCTCATCCAATCAATACACTCCCTGACAGAGTCCTTTCCCAGCTTTTCTGTAGGCCCCCTTTAGGCCACTATAAGATCTCCCCGGAGCCTTCTCTTCTCCAGGCTGAACAACCCCAACTCTCTCAGCCTGTCTTCACAGGAAAGGTGCTCCAGCTCTCTCATCATCTTCATGGCCCTCCTCTGGACCCGCTCCAACGGGTCCATGTCCTTCTTATGTTGGGGGCTCCAGAGCTGGATGCAGTACTCCAGGTGGGGTCTCACCAGAGCAGAGTAGAGGGGCAGAATCACCTCCCTCGACCTGCTGGCCACACTTCTGATGCAGGCTGAGGGCCTTTGTTAGCACCCTGTCCCTATAACCTCAGCATATCATCCCACAGGTTGTTATGGGAAAGCCTGATATTATCCCCCTCCCCCCTCAAGCCTAGTTTAAACCTCTGTCAATGAGGCCCGTTAGTTTGTGAGCAAAAAATATTAAGCGTATGGACATTTCTTCTCTCAAAATCTAAAACTGATTCTTTACTTTGAGGGTAGTGGAGCACTGGAACAGGCTGCCCAGAGAGGTTGTGGAGTCTCCCACTCTGGAGACATTCAAAACCCGCCTGGATGCC